GAACAAATCCACAGTAAAAGACTCCAACAATATTTTATTTATAAACAGATGACTAAAAATTTACATTTTATGAATAYAAAATTTATATTTTGTCTCAGTTTACCTTTTTTAATACAGAAATGATTGAACACCAGTAGTTTTGGTATGACTATCAAAGAAACATGTAATTCCATCTTGTAATAAGAAATAAACATTTATAACAAATGTCGACTAATTCACTTTACTTTTTAAACACTTTATTTTCAAAACATGGAGTYACAGCTCAGCAACAGCTGAAATGCTTTAGGGCGTAGGAAAAGTACGGTAGGTCTAATTCAACTCAAAACAAAACATTTGTTGTGCGTTTYCTTTTCTTATGAAATCTGATAAAACCTGAACACATTCGTGTCGAGGGTTTTGGTACAATAACAAAACAAAGAACATGTTTCAGTCCCAGGGACGACACACAGCTCACTTGTTACCAGTCAGATAGAGAACGATGGCGTTAGGAACGTCCATCGTTTCATCTTTTACCAACACGATGTCATACGAGTCCAGGTAKGTCTGCTTTCTTTCCTCCACCTGAAAACAAAAAGGAAGATACTGCTGTGATAAAACCATCACAACTAACAGGACTGAAGAGGAAGAGGACCTCAGCAAAAAATTCTCCTCAGAATTGGGAAAACGTCAGTATTGTGACTTTTTCTCTGAGTTTTGAGATTAAAGTCACAATTCTGAATTTTTTTCCTGAACTCATTTTTTTCCTGAGTTCTGACTTTAATCTTAGAATTTTGACTTTTTCTCGAAATTAAGAAAAAGTCAAAATTCTTATTTTTTCTTCAGAATTTTGACCTTAATCTCATAAGTGTGATGTTTTTCCCTCAGAATTAGAAAAAATGTCAGAATTGTGACTTTTTCTCTGAGTTCTGAGATTAAAGTCACAATTCTGTTTTTCCTGAACCTTTTTTCCTGAGTTCTGACTTTAATCTCAGAATTCTGACATTCTTCCTAAGAATTTTGAAATTAAAATCACAATTCAAACTTTATCCTCAGAATTCTCACTTTTCTCAAATGAGCTTTTTTTCTCAGAATCATGAAAGTCAAGTCACAATTCTGTCTTTTTTTTCCTCAAAATTCTAACTTTAATCTTAGAATTCTGACTTTTTTCC